CCCATCTGCCTCAGCAGCTCCCAGGCCTGCGGGCCCAGTGCCAACAGGGAAGGCCTGGCCTCAGGATTTGCCCTGGGCACCCTGCCCCAGCTGCAGGGCCTGGGTCTTCCTGGTGCCAGAGCCAGTGTGAAGAGACCCTGCCACATTGTCCCTGAGCCTGGGCGGGCATCATCACCTATCCTCAAGGGCTCTTCTTCCACTGGACTAGTCATTCACACTGAGGGCCCCATGATGCCTCTCACCTGGGGACTCTAGGAGCAACAGGAGCACATCCAGAGCACTGCAAGGGAGACACGGGGGTACTCACTTGGGGAGCATTTACACAACTGCAAGGCTGGGCAGGGGCAGGCACCTGGGGGGCCTTTTCTTCCAGGGAGCTCTGAGTAGGCAGCCTGCCTAGAGGAAACATAAGGGTCCCAGAGGATGCAGGCCCGCTCAGCAGACCAGCAGAGTATGTGAGTTCAGGGTTACCACAGCAAACCTAGAGGGCAGGAGGGGTCTGGGGTCTCCCGCGCTTGGGTCTGCCAAGCACCCCAGGTTCCTGCTGGTGCGGGGGGGGGGGGGGCTCAGAGCAACCGGCGCTCCAGGAAGAGGTGCCTCCCACTCTGCCAGCAGTGACTTGCCTCAGGCTTGGGCGTGCTGGCCTGCGTGGCCCCCAGGGACCCTGACACACTGAGCCTGGAGGAGTCCACCGACCCTCATGGAGCAGAATGGGGAAGCCGTTTCTCAGGGGCCCCAGGAGCCCCCCCCCCCCGCACACCCAGAGAAGCAGTTCTGTTTCGCTGTGGGGTCGCACGAAGACCCCAGGCCCGGCCAAAGGGTGCCCGAACTTTCCCTTGACACACCCCCTCGGAGAACGGGCCCTAGGGAGTCAGGCAACCCAGCGGGCAGGGAGGAAGGCGGAGAAGGGCACTTCTGGCCTCCCGCCGCCCACCCCCGCAGGGCCGGCCCAGGGACTCCCACCCCGCTCGGGGCCGCGCGGCCGTGATGGAGCGGAGGCCCCAGACGCCGCAGGAGGTGGGCTGCCCCTCCGGGCTCGCCTCACCACTCCCGCCGGAAGCCCCGGCGCCCCCGCCCGTCGGAATCCCAGGCGCGCGGCCGAGTTGGCTGGAGCCCCGCCCCGGTAGCACGGGCGGCGGGCGGGGGAGCGGAAGCGGCGGGAAGGGAAAGGAAACTGAATCGGCTGGGGGGGATTTGGCGGCCTCCCTCCTAGGAAGCCCCGACTGCAGGGGAGCCCCGTCCGCGCTGGCCAGGAGGGAGCTCTGCCTCCCCAACCCTGGCCTCATAGGACGTGGCCTTCCTGCCTGCCTGCCGGACGTCCCCGGGGACGCCCAAGCTCGACTAGGGGGCAGCGGGGCGGAGCCGCGCAGGCGCAGGCATCGGGCCCGGGGACCCCCAAACAGCGTTGGCGGAGTAGCAAGGGTGGGCTGCCGGGCCAAGGGTCCCGGCGCCCTCCACTCTGTCAGCCTGGCTTCTGGCCCGGCCGGAAGGAGCAAGATTCAGCCTGTCCCGGAGCCAGCGCTGCAATTCCCGGGTATCCTCTGCCGCCGCCCTTCCCTGGGCACGCTGGGAGGCCCGGGAAGGAGCCCAGCGTGCGCCCGAGTGGGGGCTCTGGACGCAGCCCTGGTGAGAAGCCAGAAACAAGATGAAGCCTGGCAGGGTTTTCTGGGCACCCCACCGCAGGGGTGCCGAGTGGGGCGGGCACCCAGTGCCAGAGTCTTGCCATTCACGTTATAGGCCAGCCTATGTCCCACACAGAGTGCCCGACCACCCCCCACCCCCCCCAGGCCACTTGGTGCCCCATAGAAGGATGCCAGACGTGGACTAGCCTCCCTGGACCAGAGGGACCCTGACCTACTGGAATCCCCCAATTCTTGGCCTGTCCAGAGACAGGGAACGTGGATGGCCAGAGGCTCACTCCAGATGCCAGCATTAGCCCTCCCTGAGTCACGAAATGCAAAGACAGCCCTTCCTATCCCTCCAGATCCCCCAAGGCCTTGGGGGGAAAGAGTCTGTTCTGAGACTGTCCTTAGAAATGGGCTGGGGTGTGGACCACATCACCCATACAGGATATCTCTTTGGGACCAGCAGTCCGAACTCCTAAGGCTGCCCAGGGTCTGCTTCCTCCATGCATGACCCCCTTGGTGGGCATCATCTCCATGAGGCAGGGATGGAGTGCAGCATGTCGTCTCGGGGTACCCATCCTCTCCCAGCCCTTAGCCTTCCCAGAAGTTGCCTGACCAGGATGCAACTTGCAGGAGGGGCTGTCAGGGACAGTCTGACGGATCTAGACCAGAGGAGATGACTAGATATTGAGGAGCAGTGGCTACCAAATGGCTGGAGCACGTGGGACTCTGAGATCTGGTGTGGTGGCCTGCTGGGCCTGCACAAGGGCCTTTCCAAGGCCTTTGGCCCCCTGACAACCCAGGGCTGTGTGTCCCCATTTCTGGGCTGAGTTGGGCAGCCAGGAGTCCACTGGGCATGTTTTCATGGGATTTGAGTGCTTGGCCCCCATGTCTGACAATGGCATGGACAGTCAGCCCAGGGATGGCCCTGTCTGGGCCTGATGGTGGGTCCTCTGCTTCCACCTCAAGCTCCCTCCTTCCCGTGGGTGCCTGGGACCTGGAGTTTTCCGGAACAGTGTGGCCCAGAGCCTGGGCTGAGCTTCCTGCCAGTGAGAGCTGCCAGGCTTGGCCACGGGAATTGGAAGTTCCATCCCCAGCCCAGCTGGACACCTGGCCCAGCAAAGGACACAGTGAAGACAAGTCAGGCTGGCCTCCCCTCTCCACCTCCCCCCTGCATTGGGGCCACCTGCTCCAGGGCTGGGTGCCCCAGCCGTCATGGCCCTGACCCGCCTGGCACAGGCTGGGCACAGATGGCTATGTGCGTCACCAAGAGCATGGGGTCGCAGGGGTGAGCATCAAGTCCCCAGATATTCTGTCTCCAACCCTCCCCAAGGTGGCCTGGAGCAGGGTGGGAGTTTCTGTGGGGAATGGGCTGCCCTGAAACAAGCCCCAGCACCAGCACCTCAGGATCACAGCCCCATGTGTTCCCATGGGCACAGTGTCCTGGGAAGAGGGCAAGCCAGCCCCCTTCTTCCCTGTGGGGTCCCCACCTGCTTACAGGTGGTGCTCCCTGGGTCCTAGGCCCAGGATACCTAGAGCAGGGCCACCAGTTACCTGGAGGCCCCCCAGCAGAGTAGGTAGGAACCTCCCCAACCCTGGGTTCCCCAGAGCTCCGGGCTACCTCCTCCGGGCCAAAGAGACAAGCAGGGCTGGTGGGGCCAGGCCTGGGCCAGGAGCCAGGTGAGGGCATGGGTGGGTAGATGAATATCCAGCTCAGAGCCCCTCCCGACTCCACGGCCTCAGAGCAGGGAAGAGCTGAGCATGCACAGAGTGGACCACAGCCCCATACTTGGGCAGGCTCTTGTGGTAACTGATGGGGAGCGCGTCTGCTTTCCACTGAGGATGTGCTATGTCACCAGCCACAGCCTCACCCCTTGGCCTTTGGAAGCAGGCACCAGCAAGAAGAGAGGGTGCTGAGAGCTGCCAGCCAGGGTCAAGGCTGGAGATATAGCCCTAAAGTCCCCACAGAGGCCCTGGCCAGTGTGGACAGGGGAGGCCTGGAACAGGGCAAGGAGGACCAGCTCTGGGGAGGTTCTGACACTGGGAGACTGCTGGCCTCATCTACCCTGGGTCAGGGGTTGCCAAAGTCTTTTAACACTGAGTTTATACCCAAAGCTGAATCTCAAAGTGAAGCCCAGGGCAGCTTAGGAAACAAATACAAGCCCCATGTTCCTAGGACATACCGCTGGCACCCCAAGCCTCCAAGCCTCAAGGAAGGTAGCCATAAGACCACAAGGTGCTCCAGCCTGGTGGGTAGACACCCACACTGGCCACAGGAATAGCCACATAGCCCAGCCACGGCCTTGCCTGCCTCTCTCCTCACTGCTTTCCACAGGACCTGTGACATTTGACCTGTTGTTTTCTCCTGCAGTATCACCAGTGCAGCTTTGGAGCAAGTCTGAGGCACATACCCTGTGTTGGGGACACTGGGGTGGGAGGCAATGCCCAGCAAGGGTGAGTCCCAACCACATGGAGATGGCTCTGCTTTTGGACCCTATCTGCACCCCCCGAGGGCACGTGCCCAGGACAGGGTATCACAAGCCTCTGGCACTTGCGCCCCTCAAGGGCTAGCCCTGCCACTCATCTCCCTGGCCCACTGTCCTCCCCATCCCAGTATCCAAGATTTCCAGGTTGGAGTGGGGCCCTATCTGGCCCAGAGCCTCCCCAGGGCTCCCTAGCGGTTGTGAGTCCTTCTGGACAGCAGTGAGGAAGGGCAGGGTAGTGTAGTCCCCACATGGCACATGACGGGAGGGCTCCTCCCCCACTGAACAGGGAATGGGGCCTTCCTAGGTCAGGCAAGGAGGGGGGTCCAAGGCTCACATGCCAACTGGCCTCCTGGTTAAATGGCATGAGTGCCAGGGAGCTGACAATCCACCTCGAGGGGCAGGTCTCCTATCCTTGGGGAGAAGACCCCCGTGGAGGTCCTGCTGAGGAGTTTCCTTCCCCCAGGCTGAGGGGCTGCAGCTAATGTCCATGGCTCTGAGGAGAGGATCCAAGCCCTACAAAATGTGAACAAAACCTCTGTGGCCTCAGCCAGCCTGGAGGGAAACAGGTGGACAGAAGGTACCCGGGCTGGCATGGCCACTGGTGTGGCTACCTGTACTCTTTGTCCACATGGGCTCAGTGAAGGCCAGGCCCATGAGCTTACCTGCAGATAGTGGCATAGTGGCCATCCTTCCTCCTGCCTTCACACCCTCCCCAAGCTGACCCTGGAGTCAGCCACCCTGCCTGAGGAGTGGGGGCACACGCATGGCCATCCCATGGTACTCGCAAAGTCCTTTATTGTACAATGTCATCTGCTGGGGGGTGGGGCAAAAGGACTAACAGGTACACAGCGAAATAGATAAATATGCCAAGCTTTTTCTTTTTTTTTTCTTTTTAAATCAGGCATTTATAAACAAGAAAGCATACATTAATTACATAAAAATAGTTTTCGAGTAGCAGAGTAAGCCATCATATTGTCATTAGCAGCAGCATAGGACGCAGGGACGGGTGCAGGGGGCTCCGGGTGCTGATAAAGGTAGAGGCGGGTTTTTTTCCTTAATTGCAAACAAAAAAGTCATTTGTGACTCCTGCCTTAAAGCAAGAACAAAAACATGTCCCCTGACCCTGGTGGATTGTGGACAGGGTCGGGAGAGAGAGAGAGGCCCAACCTGATGGGAGAATCCGCGCAGCTGGCGCTCAGCACCCGCAGGGAGGACATGGCGCACGGAAACTGGCCAAGGGGGTTTCTCCATCCCCTCTGGCAGATGAGCATTTATTTTTCCTCAGTTAAAAACAGCCCAGAAAACAAGACAACTATCAGGTAAGAAAAGAGTTTCTGAAAAAAGGAACCACCATATACACGTATAATACAACGGTGTAAAATGAAAAAAAAAAAAAGTATTTACACGTTAATTGTTTTTACATTGGCTAGTTCTGTACGAAAAGCAGGTATTACGAGTTAGCTGCTCCATGGATATGAATGTTATTGCTGTTGTTTTTTTCCCTTCGTTAAAAACCTTTCAGTATAGAAATGAGTAATGAAACTGACCACACAATCAACCAGATGGTAGTTTTTACGCACAGGGGCCAGAGGCCTGCTGAATGATCTCTTCTCCCTTGTTCTGGAAAGAAAGTGACTTGCAGCTGCACCTCAGAGAAGCCAGGTGTGCCCCTTGGAGCCTGGGGACACCCTTTTCCAGAGCTGTCCATCAAGACTGGCTGAGGATGGAAGCCGCCAGGAACCCTCCATGGCCCCAGGCTCACCCAGGGAAAAGACTCAAGTGAGCCCACACTGAAGCAGCAGGGAACTGCCCAGGAAGGCTCCCGGTAATCCCACAGGGCCCTAGTGGAGGGAAACTGGCCAGGGCCAAGGAACCCACAGGGAGGGCAAGCTCAGGTGAGTGAATGGTGACACTATCTGGACCTCTCCAAGACTGAACCCACTTGGCTGTTGGGGAAGAGTCACCACTGCAGACACAGGCTTTTTCCAAAGACACTTGGGACAAAGTGGGCAGGTGGAGGTGTAGACCTGACAGCGACCCCTAGGAAGGAGGATGAGGTGATGTGCAAAGTCCATCTTTCTCTGGGGCCTGAAAACTCCAAGGTGGCTGGGGGCAAGCCTGGCAGCCCTGGGCAGGGCCTGGACCTCACTGAGTTTAGACTTGGGACACAGGACAGCCACACAGAAGCCAACACACGTAAAGCTTTGCTCCAGCTAAATCATTTAGTTTCCCTTAAAGAAATGACTGAAAAAACACAACTGGTAAAACAAGGCTAAAAACAGCATTCTGCATGTTGCATGACCGACCCTTTACAAGACACAGTAATAATGCCCATGGACGGGTCTACCTACGGCAGAGGTGTAAATCCCATGCATACATATTCAATAACTGCAAAAGAAAAACAAAAGAAAAAGAAAAAATCTCCAAACAAACGCTGCATATACATGATGTCCCTTTTGCATTGCACTTTAGAAGGGAGGGTCCACAGCCACCAGGACCCCCTCAGTAAACTAAGGGCAAAACCCCACAAACGATTTTGTCACCACACATGAGGGCATGGCAGTCTCCGGTCTTTGCTGGTTGCCGGCATCGAGGACCCTGGAGGCCGTCTGTACCTGCACACGCCCATCTTCCTCAGTGCTCGCAGCTGCGAGGGTGTGTGGATGTGTGGACGATTCAAGCAAAGAATTCCTGTAAGATCTTTCTTACGCAAATAAATACCATAATTTTAGGATGGGTAGCCGCCTCTTGTCTACTGGAAAATCATTTTTCAAGCTTGGGCATAAGAAACCTTATATAATTTGCATAAACAGTGAAGAGTAAACGAGATTATTTGGAATAAACGCAAGGAACTTATTTTGATAGTGGCAGATTCAGTCGCTACTGAAGACAGATATTTTGGGGGTAAAAAGACAGGAGAGTCAGGATTTGCTGTACAAGATGGTGGAAGGCACAGAACGACCCCCAAAGTTCAGTTTTTGCATTTTCATTTTCTTGTGATTCCCTTGTTCAACCAAGCACCAGAGGGGATTTCTAAGCACGCGAGCACTTAGGATTTGAACTGCTCTATAAATTGGTAAAAACCTCAGTTAACTGGGGAATAAAAAGGGAAGATTTTTGACAAAGTGCAGTTCTAAATATACGTTTAAAATGAACGAACAAACAAAAAAAAGAAAAAGTGAAGTAATGCTGTGTTTTGTTCCAATGCTGCAGCCTCAGTCCCACACAAAAGGAGCGATGTTCACGGAGCTGAACAGGGCGCTGTGGTCAAGCAGCGCATGTTCTGGAGGGGCTGAGGGTGTGCCCGGTGACCATACCGCTGGACGCAGGTCAGGGCCCGTGGTGGAGGGGCAAGGACAGAGCCTGGGCGCAGAGCCGAGGGGCCCCTGCAAGCTCTGCCTTTCCTGGTGCCCGCGGTGCAGGGCCGACGTCCACGGCAACGTGGCGGGCGGGGTGGGTGTCGGTAAGGCGGGCAGTGTTTGGGCTCATCTAGCACGCGGCACTGTCCCTACTCTTCCTGGCAGCAGCAGGAAGACCTGGGTCCTTGTCGCTGAAAAAATAGACTCTGAAGAAAAACCCCTGCTGTCCTCACGCAGCCGCGGGCTCAGATGAGCTGTGATGGCTTCCCCGGCAGGGAGGGGGCAGCGCCACCCCCACTCCATCTCGGGTCTTCAGATGGCGTCATGTGTTGGGGCTTTTAAAAGTTAGTCATTAAAAAACTTGTTGATTTTCTGAATGTCAAGTCTCCTTATTGGTTTTAAATAGCTTATAACAAAAATGTAAATGTTAGAACGTTCTAGCAAGCAGAGAACCTGCCAGAAGTCGCTGAGCTGGCCCCGTCCCGGCTGTAGCGGGGGACATGGCTCGCTCACTCAAACTTGGCCAGTATAAAATTTTGCAGTGGATTCCAAAGTATGTGGTTACAAACACTCGCTTGGTAATAGGCACAGTAAGACTTTGTGCTGTGTGGGCCGCAGGGTGGCCGGGGCGGCACCCGCCACGCTCCTCCTGCACCCGCGGTTGTCAATGCCGCATGGAGCAGGCAGAGGCTCCGCTACGGCTCCAACTCGGCGCTGCCCTCGCTGCCCGTGGCCTCGGTGCGGGGCCGCGGCCACAGCTGCTCCTGCAGCTCCTTCACCACCTTCTCCAGGTGCTCACGGGCCTCGCGCTCCCGCAGCAGGTCAGCCCGCAGCTGCTCCCGGTCGGCCTCTGCATGCTGCAGCTTCACCTGCAGGTCTTCGATCTGAAAAGGACACTGTGTGGTCAACGACCCAGCCGGCGTTCGCTCATTGAACTGTCCATCCTCTACCCGCCAGGATACGGGACAGTGCACTCACCCCACTCCTCTCCTCTCCCTATGAGCAGACCCGCTCCCACCCTGCCCCTCCGGGTGTACACCTGGGGTCTGGCCCCAGTTCTTCCCCAGACACATAGAGCACAGGCCCAGTGCCGGGCCCTGAGCTGGAGTCCGCCCAAGAATCTGGGCCCCACCGACCCACTGCTCTGCTGCCCTCTGCCCCACACACCTGGGCTGAGTACTTGGCGCGCAGGCGGCCCGCCTCGCAGCCCTTGTCGCACACCCGGATCTGCCGCGCCTGCTCCAGCTCCCGCTTCAGGCGCATGCGCGACTCATTGGCCTCCTTCATCTTCTTCTCATTCTCTGCCCGCAGACGCTCGATCTCCTTCCGCAGGTTGCGCTTGGCCTCCGTGGCCTCCCGCAGCTTTTCCTTCTTGGCTACACGCAGGAACTCCAGCTCCTGGGGGCCGACAGGTCAGGGTCACTGCCCAGTGGGTCCCAGCGCCCTCGCCTGCCAAAGGCCAGTGGCTCTTCCCAGACCACAGCTGCTAGCCTGGGCAGAGTCTGGCCTCAGTCTACCACCCTCCAGGCTGCAGTGGGCCTCTACTCACCTCCTGCCCCCAGCTGCAAAGGCCATGTCCCCCTTAGAGGGCAGAAGCCACACTTGTGCTGGATCCCATCAATGGGGACCCAGACATCCCACCATGTGAGGGCCCAGGGTATCCCCACGCAACCAGCTGGAGACACATATCGGCCTTGGTGCCTATGAGCCCATCCCCTACTTGCTAAAATACCGTGTGACTCACACCCTGTGCTGTAAACACGCTTCATGAATATGCATGTGGGAAATCACACCTCCAACCAGAACCAAGACAACAGGCCAGCAGTCTTGCCGGGACTCACACCTCGGGGAGCAGTCTGAACCCTGCAGCTCTGAGGGCTGCAGGGCCATGTTGTGCTAAAGCCCACGCCCGGGGGGAGCTGGCCTGGAGCTGCTAGACACTGGGAGGTGTGAATTCAGCAATGCTGAGTTGCTGGGCTTGCCCGGTGAAGGCCCAGCCGCCCACAAACACACCCCCCCTCCACCAACTGTGAATAGCACACTCCTCACAGCAGCCTAAGGAGGCACAGGCCCCAAGGCTGTCGCACGGGAAACTTGGAGGCAGGGCCTGGGGAGGCAGCGTGTGCAGGTGGGGCCACGTGCATGCATTTCTGTGCGCGTGTCCATCCGTGTGTGCCAAGCCTGTTCCTTCTGGCTTAGGAGGCCTGGTGGTAACCACTTTCTAGAACACAAAGCTGAGAAGTGCACCCTCAGTCCATACTCTGTGGATGCCAGGCCTTGCTGGTGAGCATCTGAGCGTCCACTCCTGCACACAGACCACAGAGTCATCTCAGCACAGCTGCTCCTAGCCCAGTCTCCATCATGTCAGAGGGACATACCTGCTTCCCTAGTAGGCTGCGGTGCAGGGCGTGTGATGTGTCGTGTGGGGCCTCAACGGGGAGGGCTGTGCTCAAGCAAACTGCAGGGCCCACTCTGGACACCCAGGGGGGCTCTGCTCCTCAAAAGGATCAAGGGGTCACCCTAGGCAGAGCCATGCAGGGCTCACGAGTAGTAGGGTATCCAGGAGGGGCTGCATGGCTCACCTGGTGGAGGCTACGCTTGGCCTGCAGGGCCGCGTTGAGTTTTTCCTCTTGCTTCACACGCATCTTGACCACCTCGTGCAGGAACTTCTCTTTGGCTTCCTTGGTGTCCAGGCCACCCTCCAGGGCCTGCCGCAGGTGTTCCAGCTCCGCCTCCAGCCCACTGGGGGCTTCGGCATGGGCCGCAGCATCCGGAGCGGCCGAGGGCAGGGCATGTACGCCCGGGGAGCTCAGGTCCTTGGCAGAGCTGGATGAGGTAAAGGACGGGGAAGAGAGCGAGGACAAGGAGGAGGTAACTGAGGAACAAGCAGAGACAGAGACTACGTTACACAAGCGCCAGGAGCTCCTGCAGCAGAGACTCGCGGGCGCTTCCAAGGGGACCTGGGGAATGCTGGGGCAAGAAGACTCTGCCCGAAGGTGTGCTGGGCCCCAGGTACCCCCTAGTCCCTCCAGCCAGTGCCACTGCCACACCGATTCCCACAGGGAATAGAAAAGGAAATCAACTCACACTTACATTCCTCTCTGCTTTCAACTTCAACCTCAGCCTCTGAGTCCTTGTCCTCCTCTGGGGCGGCTCCAGGCGCCAGCATCTCTGGACCTCCAGGTGTGTCCACGGTCAGCTTCCGCTTCCGTGGCTGGATGCAAGTGGTGAGAGGCTCAGGAGCCCGGGAGACGACAGTGGCACATGGGGAGCTGTTCACAACTTTCTGCTGGGCTGGCGGTGCAAGGGCCACGTTGGGGGCCACGGCTGTCTCAAAGCTCTTGTAGGAGTAAAAGCTGGGGGAGGAGCAGGTGTGTCAGCAGGGACAGCTCTACCCACCAGCTCCAACCCAACACCTGGAGCCACCTGGTACCCAGTACCACATATGCTCAGCACCACAGACCCCGCACAGAACATGCTCCCTCTAAAGGGTTGTGGTAGAAGTACTTTCCCTCCCAACTCGAAATCTTCACATCAAGTTTTCAATGACTAGGAATCCATAAATGTTTTCTGCCAGCCAGGTGCCCTGGCAGGGTGGGACACGAGTAGCCACCACACCCACAAGAGGACGCACCTGATATACAGGGCCCCACATAAGGCAACAACTCTACACACAAAAACACCATAGAAAGCTCCAGATGTGTTCACTCTGATGCCAACCAAATGAGGCAGCACTCCAAGACAGTCTCAGTAAAAATGATGCCAGTCTAGGCACCTGGCCTGCAAACACACTGGTGTGTCACACAGACACAACACACAATGGCAGTACCTCTGATTCTGAAAGCCCACGTGTGACCGCTCACCTGTCTCGGATCAAGGCTGGGAGGTGTGGGGAGAGCTCTTTTTCACTTGTCGAAACTGCAGGGGACCAGGGTCGGAAAGCGGAGAGGCGCTGGCGAGGGTGGACACAGCCAAGGCTCTGTCGAGAAAGAGTCACCTGTGTGAATGACTGGCAGAAAAACAAGGCACTTCATGCCCCTGAGGCTGGGCCTGGCCCAGCACCCAGCCACGGCATGGGCTCCAAGAGCCCAGCGCCCACCTCCCCAAGGACCCCACACAGGCCCCTTGCAGCACCTTGTTGGAGGAGCCAGCCAAGGTCCGCAGCCAGCTCGACTGCTTGTCCTTCTCAGAAGGCGCAGGGGACTGGGGAGAGGTGTCATCTGTTTGGGGTCTTATGGAGGCCGGGGGCTCAGAAGAAACCTGTGATCAACACAAAAGACCCTGTTGGTGTCTCTGGGCCCTGGGGGCACCAAAGGCAGACTGTCAGTCGCCTGGCACAGCCCAGTCACAGACCTGGCTCTCTGAGCACCGATGGGCCACAAGGGCTGCTTGGGCCATACACAAGGAGGTAGCTGGACACTGCTGAGGGCCACCTTGAAGAAAGCAGTTGCTGCTGTGCAGTTTGTGGGGCTATTACACTGTGACCTCACCCTACAGCTGTGCAGACCTGCCCTGCTTATCTGCAGCACTCTGCCTGACCGGCACCCCCATCCTCATTCCTTCAGATCGCTATTTCAGATCTGAGCCTGTTCTTGCCAGGGACAGTGCTGGGGCTGAGAGCTGAGTAGTCCAGCTTGGGAAGGCCCAGGAGAGGCTGCTGCATGCACCAGAGGCTTGATAGTCACCTGTGGGGTCTAAGGGCAGGCTACATAGGGAGGGGGGCACGTCCACAGCCCTGCTATAGACCACCCCAAGTGAGCCAGCTCCATGGGTGCTGCCACATTAGCTATTCCTTCTCACCAATTCTGCCATGGGATGAACCAGAGCCACTCGGCCTGGCCTAGGGGCACAGTGCTGTGCCCAGCAGGCACTATAGCCCTTCAGGATGGACGGTGCAATGGGAAAAGCACACCCCCACCAACTCCAGATCCCTGAGTTGTCCACCTACATGATGCAATCCGGACACAAAATCTGTCCCCAATCAAAACCAGAAGGATCTTTGCAAGACGGACCCTCCCCCAAGCCCCACAAGACAGCAGGGAGGCCCCTAGGGCAGCTGTGCCAGGGTCTGCAGCACCAATGCAGGCGAGCCTCTGAGGTATGGGCACAGAGCCCTCTGCAGGGTGGGGGCCCATTCATCCTCCTGGGGTGCCTGAGGAGCAAACTGTGAAAGTGGTGGCCCTCTCGTCACCAGCCAGACAGCCTGGCGGGCAGAGTAAGGAAATGCGGCTCCTTGGAGAAAAGGCTGTACTGGCCCCACGCCACCAAAAATAACAGGGTTTTCATCATAAAGCTGAAGACACAGGGACAGCCTAGATCCTAGGGAAAGGTCCCACCATAGCCCTTGGCCTCCCCCAGAAGAGGGGCCAAGTGCACAGCACACACCACCCGGCCTGCGAGGCTACAGCCCCTCAGGGACCCAGATGCAGGGAATGGGGCCCGGAGTGGGCAGCTGACCAAGGACGCCCAGACCCTGGCAAGGAGGCCATGGTGGGTGGGGGCAGCTGCCTGCTCTGGGGAACTTTTAGGTCAACCGATGCTCGGCCCAGACACTAAACACACAGGGGAAGCAGGTCTCAGTGACGTCTGGCACAGCCCTGACCACAGAGGCCATGCCTGTGCCTGGCAGGGAAGGTGGGATCCCCGGGGTAGTGCAGAGGGCTGGCTGGGGACACCAGCCCCAGGGTGGAGCTTCCTGCCAGAGCAGCGGCTGTGGCAGGCGTGGAAAGGAAGCCAGTTCAGAGAAAAGCCACAGCCCTGCACCGTCTGCTGCTGAATCTGAGAAACCTCAGAGACCTGGGGGGTGTGTGTGTGTGTGTGTGTGTGTAAGCATCAGATGCCTCCAGTTTCAGGGATGCAACCACCTCAGGATGCCCAAGGAGACCCAGAGCCACTGCAGATGCGGCTGGCGGACAGGCAGGCCTGCCCGCACTTACTTGCCCAGTATGGTGGCAGGGAGGCATGTTCAGGAAGGGCAGCTCCCTGTCCCTGGGACCCATGCAGACTCTGGAGAAGAGAGGCGTGGTGTGTTGGGCTTCGCACCCCACCCAGCGCCCGCGAGTTCCACCTCTAGGGTGGGGAGGGTCTCCTGGTCCTCAGCCCCATGCATCAAGCGCAGCTGGTTCCCAGGGATGGGGCTCTTGAGTCCATGGGTCTCCTGAACAGCATGAAGAGGAAGTTGCCAAACAGGGAAGATGCATGGCCCCGTGGGCCCGAGGGAATGCCCTCCACCTGAGTGGTATTAGCCCAGGAAGAAGACCCCCTCTAGGCCTGGGAGGCCCCTATTGCCAGCAGGGCAGACAGCTGGGACAAAGCTGTGCCCGCAACAAAACTGCAGCATCTGTACCCTGAGTGGGGTCCAGACTAGCTGCCTCTGGTTTCTGACCCTTCCTACATCCTCAAAACCAGCTCCAAAGGCCTACAGGCCAAGGCAGGAGGCAGCTCTGGCCCCAGACACCAAAGCGACAAGGCCAGAGCGTGGGCAGGATACAGGGGCAGAGGTAGGTTATGAACACCCAGTGCCCTGTGACGGAGCAAAGACAACGGCCCCAGGAGACTCCTGTCCACCATGCAGTGGCCCTAGAGCAGAGCAAGGGCCCACCAGACTGGCCGGCCCCTGCACGCTGCCACAGGTGAGCTGTGCAAACTCCTTGTGGGGTTACTATGAGCTCAGCAAAGATTCTCCAGAAAGATCTATTCCACCTTCCAAGACCAATCCTCGAACACCCCCCCCCCCCAGTGACCTGGGCTGAGGGTGGACACAGAGGCACAAGGACATGATGGCCATCAGACACAGACAGACACTGGCAATACAGAGCTGGGCTGGACATGGGCTTGGGGTGGCTGCCTGGGCCACCTTGACCCTCCAGACCACAGCAGGGTCCACATGCCACAGGCTGTGCTTCCCCTAGAGCCTTGCATCCCACCAGCCCTACTCAAACAAAGAGCAAAGCTGGATAAACCCACAGGGCATACAGCTCTGAAGGAGTGGCCCTGCACTCCCTGGGGCGGTCCTGCCCTCTGCCAAGGCCAGCACCTGGGAAGTTGAAAGGAAGCCTGAGCTCTAAGGGAGCCACCAAGACCAGGGACTTGAAGCGTGGGAGCAACATCTAAGGGCCCGATCCCAAGCCTGCAAGGAGCCAGGGTCAGAGGAAAGCTGGCAGGAGGACCCTGAAGACCTTTTCCTGACACTGCATGGTGGGTGCTCAGAGCAAGAGAGGCCACTCCCCCACCCACCTCTCAGGAGGCTCACACCTCACAGTAGAGCGCCAGTACCCAAGACCAAGGTAAGCAATGGGTCACACAATCTGCTCATGAGGGCCAAGTGACTACAAGACAGGCGAAGACACATCTACACTTCCCATAGACCCACCTGGGACAATGAAGTCTCAGGCAGGGCACTGCTCCCTGCAGGCCCACATGAGGGGGACACAGACAGAACCCTGAGGCAGCCTCAGCCTGCAGCTCTGGGTAGTACCTTCATCCACCTAGCTCATTTCTGTTTCATTACTAACCAGATGTGAATAGTGGCCCCCAAACCAAGATCCCTCCCATTCCCAGGTAGTTCAGTGTTACGATTGGTTACTGCCTCTGCCCCCTGGACAAGGACTTGTGTCAACCTTGACCAATGGTTCACAGACCCCAAAGCAAGACAAAACACAGCCACACATGTGGCCCAATAAAAACCAACACACCCACTCAGGGTCGCCCAGGAGTCAAAGGCGCAGGGACAGGCCCCTGTGGAGAATCTCCGGGGAGGAGCTTGTGGGTAGTGCTGGGGGTACCCCAAGGATATGGTCTAGATGCCAAGGAGACCCCAGCAGCTGGCAGGGAAGCGGCCAGCCCACCTCAGACAACACCTCTGTGCTGCTCATTTATCACCAAAGAGTGAGTCCCATCAGTCAGGTGGTAGGATCAGTATGGACCCACCTCCAAGCGCATGGCAGCTGCAGCTGTGGACACCAAACCCAGGCCTCAAACAGGCCTTGGCCTCCCTGAGGGCCACAGCATGGACACAGTCTGAAGCAGGGCTCCACTGTCCAGCTCCACAGCCATGACCCACATGCTCCTGAGCTGGCCAGGTGGGAGACCAGGGCTACGCCTACTGCAGGGAGGAGCAGGGGTCAGTGCCTGTGACCATGTGCCCACGACTAGGCTAGCATCCCCACTCGGTCACAGTCCGCCTACCACCTCACGCATGTGGAGATGGCTGTCACTTATCCAAGTGGACAATGCAAAATGTTAGCCATGATGCTGACAGGGAGCCAGGATGCTACCACGGCACTCTATTTGGGCTCTAGAAAAGGAATTATATGACCCAGCAACTCAACGCATGGTCACTGAACACTATGTCCACATAACACCCCGCTTTCTCAGGGGGTAAACAGACCGAGTGCCCATCAACTACAAATGAGCAGCTCATGTGGTTTATGGGTTCCCTGGAGGGCGAGGGAAGCAGCTGACATGGGCAGCCCTCGGAGACTCATGCTCAGTGGGAGAAGCCAGACACAGAGAGCCATGCGCCCCAAGGTCATGGTCCTGCCTTCATGGAAGGTCGAGAACAGGCACACCCAGGGGGCCTGGGGTGTGGCAGCTACTGCACACAGGGTTTTGGGGGGGGTGACAAACATGTCACAGAATGAGATGATGATGAATAATAGCTGCAGATACTAAGCCGTTAAGGTATACTCTCTGCAAGAAAAAGATTTCATAGTATGTAAATAACATCTCAGTAAACCCGTTACCTAAAAAACATTTATTTAAAAACAAAAACGTACGAATGAATTATTGGTTGAAAACCAAATTCCCAAGGTGACTGTTTGCTGGTTTCACTGATACACAGCCCTCAGAACAGAAGTCAGGGTGGACGCCAGGAGTCCAGTGGGCACCTCAGGGTTGGCGGGCACCTTAGCAACCAGAGGAGGGCCACCATGCCTGTGCAGACAGACCATGAGATGCCAGGATGTTCCCAGGTCTGGAAGCCAAGGAGACCCTCTGGCATCCCTCTACAACTCCTGGTTTAGGGCACATCCTGGTCCTCATCACCAGGGGCATCACACAGGGCATAGGCAGCCTTGGCCCTGAGGCAGCTGTGCTCCCCAGCAGTCTCCATACCAGAAAGGTATGCCTGCCCAGCGGCGCTGCCTGGTGCAGACCCCAAGCCAGCTGTCAGTGCCAGGGGACCAGCAGGCCAGCCTGGTCCCCAGGAGCACGAGTGCTGCTGGGGACACAAGAACACAGGCAGCAGCAGGCTGGCAGAG